TTCCTCCTAATCATTCTGCTGAGGGTAGTTTGAGGGAGTGTACAGAGTCGAAATTATTGACCACAACCCAAGAAAGATGCACCTGTTTTATAGGGACCTTACAGTTGCTGGCCTCTTGTTCTCCCAGCCTGTCTTCTGGGGGAGGGGTCTGTTGCACTGTTTTACTCAGGCTCGCCTGTTTGAGCAGAGTTGCCTTGCCACCCTGTGGTGGGTGATGGGCTCAGTGGGAACCGGTTTGGGGGGGCTTTTTTTCTCTGGTGGCTTTCCCTGCTGGCTTGCCACATCCCTTCTGAGAGTCAGAGCAGAAGAGATCATTTCCAGCCCTCTTCCTCAGAGCAGAGAGATCATAGTCTGTTCTTCAGTGAGCTCTCCAGGCCACACTATCTCCATTTCTGTCTGTGCTGTTATAAATGGCAGCTTCCTGGGTTGTTTGCCCCTCAGCAGCATTCCCAGTCCTTGCCTCCAGGTCTGGGCATGTCTCTGCCCTTTGTGCTTCTAAAACCAGTCGCCCCCAGTTCACACGTGCAGTCCCACTGCTCTGCATTTCAGTCCAGGGGGCTGCCCTAAAGCACGGGAAGCTGTTGCTCACTGGTGGTGTAGAATTGCCATGGCTCCCTCTGCCTTCCATTTATCTTCTGATATCTGCCCGTGGAATCACAGCTCCCCACTTCATACCTCGAAACGAACCGCCTGCAATATTCTGTTTGTAGAGATCCAGATCTATCTTCTTACATCTCACACTGATTTTGTGGGTGTTCAGAGTGGTCTGGTAGATATCCAGCTCAATTCCGGGGACTGGTTGAAATAGGGTCTGCTACTTCTCCACCATCTTTTCAGCATCTCTGAAGAGCCTATCTTTTCCCCATTATATATTCTTCCTCCTTTAGCAAAGACTAATTTGCATGTGTCACATGGGTTTTTGCCTGGACTGTGTATTCTGTGTGTGTTCTATGTGTCTGTTTTTGTGCCAATGTCATACTTTGATTACTATAGTTTTGTAATACAGTTTGAAATAAGGAAGACTGATACCTTCAGCTTGACTTCTTTTTCAACATTGCCGTGATCATTCACTGTCCTTTGTGGTTCCATATGCATTTTAGAATTATTTCTTCCAGTTCTCTGAAAGATGCCATTGGTATTTTAATAGAGATCGCATTGAATCTGTGGATTGTTTTGGGTAGCAGGGGCAATTTAATAATATTAATTCTTCCGATCCAAATGCAAGGTATGTCTTTCAATATATCATCTTCATTTCCATCTACCAGTGTCTTACAGTTTACCCGCCCCTACCCCTTTTTCATTTGGATTGCTTGGTGTTTTTTTATTGCTTGCATTTTATTTTATTTGTGTTTTGTGTGCAACTTTAAATGGAATTGTTTACCTAATTTTCTTTTTTCAATGTGGTCTTTTATATTGATTTGCAGATGTTGAACCACACTTGTGCCCTAGAATAAATCACACTTGATCCTGTTATATGATTCTTTTAATGTATTGTTTGATTTGATTTGCTAACATTTTGTTGAGGATTTTTGTATCTATATTCATGAGAATTATTGGCCTGTAATCCGCCTAACTTTAACAGCAACAAACGAGTGGATAGTTTTTAAAATTTGCTTTTATTGAACAAAGCAGAGAGGGGAGGTTGTAGGGCAACCTAAACCTACAAGGAAACAAAACACAAGTACTGGCTCATTTATGTTAGCCTGAAAAAGAAGTAATGTCTGTACTTGTGGGTCTAATATTTTTAACAGATTGTTGAAGTTTTGATAAAATACTGTGAGGTTATAAAACACATGGAACTAAAGATTTAAAAGGGAGTTCAAATTTACGTGACACTTTTCCCTCATAAACCTCACAAGTAGAAGCTGAGAGGAGAAACTGGAGAGACCCCTCCTCTATGGAACAGTCTTAAAAGGCACACAAATATCATTGAAGAAATGCTTGGACTCTTCTTTCAAAAACAAAATCATAAACCCACTGAGGGAGAAACAATAAATATTTAAATCTTTGACATAGTGAAAACCACTAAGAAGGGAACATGTAAGAAAAAAATTTCTCTAACTTTATAGAATTGGGAAACCATCATACACTTAGACTATGAAGATATTTACCAATGGAGGTGGGATAAGATTGCAACAAAGGGGCCACCTGCAAGACACAGGCACTAATTTAAGATTGAAGATGAATCAGAAAAAAAAAAAAAAAAAACAGAACACCCTCTCTCAAGCAAGAGTACCACAAATGACAGACTTTACTGCTGGGGGGGGAAAGCAAAAGAATTGAAAGAGATACCTAAGAATAAAAGAGCCTTGATGGAAGTCACGGTTTTCAAAGGAGAAGCTGGTTTCACCATTATAGTAAGGCAAAACAAACAAAGAAAAAAACAAGTTTGAATGCAATGAAGTGGCTAAAACAAACAGTAATAGCATTATCACCCAGTCACTAAAGCTGACAGGTAGAGAAAGCTCACAGTCTACCATGGTGGAGAGGGAGACTGGTGAGGGATTACTCAGCTTCCCCAGTTGTGCAAGACTCTGGTAAAGAAATCCATCTCTCTCTCTTTTTTTTTTCTTTTTGGTAATAACGTTTGACTGTTCTATTAATCTTTTCAAAGAACCAACTTATTTTTCCAATTTTCTCTATTTTATCGTCTATTTTGTTTGTGTCTGATCTTATCTTTATTACTGATTTCTTTCAGTGGCTTGAGTTCAGTTTTTTTCTTTTTTCAAGTTCCTTCTGTTATTGATTTGAGATCTCTTTCTTTTTTGAATACATGCATTTATACCTTTAAATTTCCCTTTGAGCACTCCTATACACTATTCCATAGTTTTATTTTTAGTTGTATTCTCTCATTTATTTCTAAATATTTTCTGGTTTCCCTAGTGATTTTTTTTTAACTTATTTATTTGACAGAGAGAGAGAGAACATGTGCAGAGGGAGGGGCAGAGGGAGAGGGAGAGAAATCCTCAAGCAGACTCCTCACTGAGCGTGGAGCCAGATGCAGGGCTTGATCCCATGACCCAGAGACCATGACCTGAGCTGAAATCAAGAGATGGATGCTTAACGGACTGAGCCACCCAGGCACGCTTCTAGTGATTTGTTCTTAACCTATTGGTTATTTAGGAGTCTATTATTTATATCCATGTATTTTCTTTCCTCATTGATTCCTACCTTGATTCTATTGTGCTTGGAGAAAATATTTGATATCAGTTTGATCTTTCATACATTATGTGTAAAAAAACATTATTAATGTGTATAAAAATATTTTGTGTACATGGGTGCCTGGGTGGCTCAGTTGGTTAGGCGACTGCCTTCAGCTCAGGTCATGATCTCGGAGTCCTGGGATTGAGTCCCACATCGGGCTCCCTGCTCAGCAGGGAGTCTGCTTCTCCCTCTCACCCTCCCCCCTCTCCTGCTCTCTCACTCTCTCTCTCTAAATAAATAAATAAAATCTTTAAAATAATTTTGTGTACAAAAACATTATGCTAAGTGAAAGAAGCCAGACATAATAGCTCAGTTACTGTATAATTCTTTCCATGTTATATTTGAAAAGTAGGCAAATCCACAGATAAAGTAGAAGAATAGTGGTAACCATATCATGGGGAATGAAGAGTGACTACTTAATATGCATAGGTCGTTTTCTGGATGGTGAACATGTTTTCAAACCAGAGGTAGACGGTAGTCGTGCAACATTGTATGCCTAAATACCGCCAACTGTATATTTTAAATTTTTAAACCATTTAGACAATTTAAAAATGGTTAATTGTATATTTTGTGATTTCACTTCAATAGAAAATGTATGTCTGAAGAATAGAAGATAAATGAAGGTATTTTTATTAGAGATAGTATTTTTAAAGCTCTACTTGAAAAACATAGAGTTGAGATAATCTTTGAAATGAGAAAAGTAGAAAGAGCACTTAAGTAAAAATAATACTAATGAAAGCACATACAACTGTGAAGTAGTAAAAATATAGAAAATATTGAGTAATTAAAAGGAAGCTAGTCTCGCTTTGAGGATTTCGAGGCTTTATTTGGAATTTGCATCCCAGGAGGCAGTGAAAAAGATTATATATATTCCTAACTGGAAACTCAAAGCATTTGGAAGATTACTGTTGAAGGTTTAGGATATAAGAAAAGATGGAAAATGTTTGAATTTAGAAGTTTGAATGTTTTATTTTTATTTTTTTATTTTTTAAAGATTTTATTTATTTATTTGACACAGAGAGAGAGACAGTAAGAGCAGGAACACAAGCAGGGGAGTGGGAGAGGGAGAAGCAGGCTTCCTGCTGAGCAGGGAGCCTGATGTGGGACTCAATCCCAGGACCCTGGGATCATAACCCAAGCCAAAGGCAGACGCTTAATGACTGAGCCACCCAGGCGCCAGTTTGAATGTTTTTTAAAATATATGATAAAGTTAAAAAAATAATTATTATACATGTCCTTTTATAATTGCCAAAGGCTAAAATGAGAAAGTCTCTGAAAATAAATGACTTAATGTAAAGTAGAATAAAAAAATAAAACTTTAACTTGTATAAATTATTGATGGAGTAATTTTATGTGTACAAGATAAATTTTACTTTTTGTCCTCAGCATGACATTTAAACATGATATCTTGTTTATAATATAAATAATATAGAATATATATAATATATATATATAATATAACATATAATAATATAGAATTACAAGAGAGTGTTCATGACCAAAGAAGACAAAGTGCGCTTAAAAGAACTGGAAACAAATCACGGCTACATGCTTTCCTATTAGTTTTTCTGGTTAAAAGGAGACTGACTAAAATTTAAGGATGACAATGCAAACTTAAATCTAAAAATGATACTATGTAAAAGATTTCCACTAAAAGTAAAAATGAATTGTATATATGTTTCTGTTACTGTGTTATTTCTACAAAAAAAAATCTTTTAGAACTGTTAATTTGTATAAATAGTTTGGTTATTGAAATTTTATGTATTGTCATTTTATCTTTTAATTATTTTTATTAGATAGAGGAACATACCACCACCACACAGAGAGTTTTCCAAGATCGACAATATCAGATTGATGCTGCAATTGTTCGTATTATGAAGATAAGGAAAACACTTAACCACAATGTACTTCTGTCAGAATTGTATAACCAGCTAAAATTTACACTAAAGGTAAACAGATCTATCAAAAAGTCAGTGGCATTGAGTACTTTTTTTAAATTTTTTTAAAAATTTTGCTATGTTAGTCACCATACAATACAACATTAGTTTTTAATGTGGTGATCCACGTCCATTGTTTTCATATAACACATTGTTTGTATCAATTTTACAAACAGAAACAATAAATTGTAGCATTTTAAAAAGAAAGAATAGAAAAAAAGAAAAATATTTTCACTGTACCTCCATGATTTAGATACTCCTCCATGATGTATCTCCTCTATAGAATACAGGAATTGCCTTTATTCCCACTGCTTATAACTGAATACCTCACAATTATTAGCAAAAGGCCTTGGTCTAATTATGATAGTCCTTTCTCTCTGCCTCTTATAAGGATTGATCTTGAGGACATATTAAATATTACAGTCTAGCAAATTAGATAGCAATATTTGGCAAATTATTTCTTGTTACCATTTTTTAAAATTGAGAGGTCTTTTTAAAAACACAGTTACAGCTCCTTTGTTCAGTTCTTATAGTTTAGGCTTTTGAATAAATTTTTTGAGATAATTATTAAAAATTTCAAACAACCACTCCAGTTTTCTTTGGAGGTCTGTTGGCATGAAAAATCGTTCTCCATCCCCTCACTTTCAGTCTGGAGGTGTCTTCAGGTTCAAAATGAGTCTCTTGTAGACAGCATATGGATGGGGTCCTGTCTTTTTATCCAGTGTGCAACCCTGTGCCAATTTATGGGAGCATTTAGGCCGTTCATGTTGAGAGTGATTATTGAAAGATATGATTTTAGTGCTATAATGTTGCCTGTGAAGTCCTTGTTTCTATAGATTGTCTCTGTAAATTTCTGTTCTATATCACTCTTGGGGTCTTTCTCCTTTTATAGAACCCCCTTAATATTTCTTGCAAGGGCTGGCTTAGTGGTCATATATTCTTTCAGTTTCTGCTGGTCTTGGAAGCTCTGTATCCCTCCATCCATTCTAAATGACAGCCTTGCCGGATAAAGCATTCTTGGATGCATGTTCTTCTCATTTAGTACCTTGAATATGTCTTGCCAGCCCTTTCTGGCTTGCCAGGTCTCTGTGGGTAGGTCCTCCCTCTACACTTATGGAATCTTTCCCCCCTAACAGCCCTTAAGATGGTTTCCTTGGTTCTAAGATTTGTGAGTTTTATTATTACATGCCTGGGAGTTGGTCTGTTCTTGATCTTGGGAGGGGTCCTCTCTGCCTCTAGGACATGAATGCTTGTTTTATTCCCCAGATTAGGGAAGTTCTCGGGTATGACTTGCTCACATATATCTTCTAATCCTCTCTCTCTCTCCACCCCCTTAGGGACCCCAATAATTCTGACATTGGAATGTTTCATGGGGTCATTTATTTCTCTAATTCTGTTTTCATGGATTTTGAGATGTTTGTTCCAGGCTTCCTCATTTTCCTTTTTTTCTATCAATTTGTCTTCTAGATCACTAATTCATTCTTCTGCCTCATTTACCCTAACTGTAAGCATATCTAGATTAGATTGCATCTCAATTATAGCATTTTTAAGTTCAGCCTGATTAACTCTTATTTCTGCCTTTAGAGAATCTATGTTGCCATTAATGGTTTTCTCCAGCCTAGCTATTATCTTCATAACTGTTACCGTGCTATTTCTGACATCTTGCTTATATCCATATCCATTAGGTCTATGGATGAGGCCATTGTCTCTTGGTCTGTTATTTGGGACAACATCAAAGACTAATGATGTACTATATGTCCGCTAACTGAACATAATAATAAAAAATATTATAAATGAAAAAAATAAAAATAAAAAACTTGAAATGTCAAAAATTCAAGTAATTTGTCAGCATTTTATCTTTAAAATAAAGGGAAAAATTGTTAGTAGTTTTGTATATCCTAAATAATCAAAATTTAATTGCTATAAAACACATCAGTTTCTAGACTGTTTATGGTTGACTCATAAAGTCTGAAGCCTGTCAGCTAGAATTTCTTTTTTCTCTTTTTTTTTTTTTTCATTTGGCTAGGATTTCAATTGTACTTTATTTCATCTCTTTTTCTTTTTGTGACTCTTGGCAAGTTTACATAATTTGCTTTATCTCAGCTTCCTCATGGAAAATGATCATTTTAATTAACTATTTATTCTAGTGTTATTAAGACAAAAGAGTGGACTGAAGTATAGTAAGTGCTAAGGAAATTTTAGCTGTGCTGCTACATTATCAGTATTGTACTCTTGATTTTTTTTAAATTTAAAAGCTGTTTCTGGCCGCCTGGGTCGCTCAGTTGGTTAAAGAACTGCCTTTGGCTCAGGTTATGATCCTGGAATCCCTGGATCGAGTCCCGCATCAGGCTCCCTGCTCGGCAGGGAGTCTGCTTCTCCCTCTGACCCTCCCCCCCTCATGTGCTCGCTCTCTCTCTCATTCTCTCTGTCTCAAATAAATAAATAAAATCTTAAAAAAAAAAAAAAAAAGCTATTTCTTCTCTGAGGTAAAAAACACTTACTCTTAAGTCTTTCTGGGTTCTCTACCCATGGCTCAATTGAGTGCTTGCTGTACTTTAGTAAATTATGGAATTACTTTCCTTAATGTGCGTTGTAGGGAGTGTAATCTCTACATGCTAACTAAGCATGTGCCTTATAGAGAGTTGTGCCTAAGGTATTAGCTATCTTATGCATTCTAGAGCCTTTGTTAATGGCAGTGGTTAATGAATATAACTTCTTTTTCCTGCAAAGTTATTAAAGAAATTGAAAGCATAATTTTTTTTCCAAAATGCAGTCCAGGTATATTTTTATTCTATTCTTTATGTACTAATCGTGCTTTATTCCTATTTAATACTTTTGTTATGTGTGTCTAGATTAGTTAAGAAATTTATTATTTCCTGAGAAATATAAATAATAAAAATATGATATATAAAATGTGATCTTTTTTTGTATTTGAGGGGAGAATAGGAAATATTGTGATTTAATTTTTACTAATTCTAATAATTTATTTTGTAGCCTTCTGATCTGAAGAAGAGAATAGAATCCTTAATTGACAGAGACTACATGGAAAGAGATAAAGAAAATCCAAACCAGTACAAGTATATTGCATGAAGCTCTGGCCTTAATTTGAATATCTGACACTATACCTACTTCTAGTAGGTGCCTTGTGGTCCTGTTAATTGATTAAAATGTTGCACTGATATTTGAATAAAAGCGATGCATTAAAAATACAAATGCAGAATTAAAATTTGGATCAACAGTCTGTTAAAAGTATATAAATTTCTGAATTAAGTTTTTTAAATGTCACTTTTACATTGTACTTAATGATCTAAAACTTTCTGGAATATTTCATACTGTTTGCTATCATTCATTCTAGTATAGCTCATGTTCATTACATGTAATGTGCATTAGTTTCATATACAGCAACATATATCCAAATACATTTAAATGTAAAATGGCAAAATTAATCATACATCTGGATGGTTTAAATTCTATTTGAATTTAAGAATTAATGCCACTTATTTGTCCTGATGTTGGTTTTCCTGGCAAAATTAGTCATATATTATGCAAATTATTTAATATTACAGCATATAATCAATCTTAAAATTTACCTGTAATATAAAAAAATAATTTTGGGCATCTTTAAAACAATTTACTTCAAGTACAGACACAAACACACACATACATGCATATATATAATTGTGGTAAAATATAATTTGAAATTTACTGTTTTAACCACTTGTTTCATTACAGATTTTGGCTTTTTATTTTGTGTGACAATAGATATGACTGTCACTACCTGAAAAGATTCAGGTTCTCATTTGCACAGAACATGTTTTTCTATCCTTTGATTTTTAGCCTGTGTGTCCTTAGATAAAAAATGTCTCCTCTGGATAGTGTATAGTTGGAAACTATCTTTTAATTAGGGAATTTAAGTCATACACATCTAAAGTAATTATAAATATAAAATAATTACTATTGCTGTTTTCTTTATTGTCCCTTCTTTCCTCCCTTTCTGCTTTCTCTTGTGTTTTACGGATTTTTTTTTTTTTTTGTAGTAGTAGAATATTTTCATTCCCTTCTGATTTCTTTTTCAGCATATTTTCAAAAGGTTTTCCTTGTGGTTCATTGTTCTTTCATTTTAAATGTGAACTCTCATCAGCATTTTATATACTATGTCAGGTGGTGAATCTTGTCATCTTTTGTTTATCTGGCAATGCCTTAACTTTTGAATTTTGAAGAATCATTTTGCTAGATATATTGTTCTTAGTAGTTAACATTTTTCTATCAGCACCTTAATATATCATCCCATTCCCTCTAAACTACATGATTTCTGTTCACAGTCTTCTAATATCCTAAAAATAGTATGCTTGTATGTGAGAAGTTGCTTTTCTCTTGCAGCTTTCAAGATATTGTCTTTGTCTTTTGTGTGTCTTTTGACAGTTTTCCTTAAGATATATATTGGTATAGGTGTTTGGGACTTATCTTGGTTGGAGTTCTATGAGATTTTGATTTTTTATGTTAATTTCTCTCATATTTGGGGACTTTTTGGCTATTTTTTCAAATGTTTAAGCACCACTTTCTTCTTTGACTTCCATAATACACATTTGTTCTGCTTGATGGTGTCCCATTATTTCTTTATATATGCTTTTTTCCCTTCATTTTTTTCTTTTTTACATTTCTGCCTCAGTTATTTCAGAAGTTCTTACTCTTAGTTCACTTTTCTCAGTACACGTGTATTTAAAAATGATCAGAAAGGTTACCTATCTTATGGTGATGGTTAATTTGAAAAAAAATTGTACATTAAAATAAAAGAAATTATTACTGCAGTATCTAAGTAACATTCACCATGATGACATATGGGCAGTTTTTATTTTATGAGAAATTTTAAGATTTACTCTATTAGCAACTTTTAAATATATAGTAAAGCATTGTTAACTATTATTACCATGCTGTACATTAGGTCCACAGGACTTATTTTATCACTAGAAGTTTTTACCTTTTGACCACCCTCACCCATTTCAGTCCCCACCCCAAATACTGCATTTGGCAATCACCAGTCTGTTCTCTATGAGTTTGTGCGGTTTTTTCTTTTCCTTTTAGTGTTTAAGTATAGTTTAGGTAATACAGCATTTGCTTTTCTCTGTTTCACTTAGCATAATGTCCTAATGATCCATTTGTTGTCACAAAAGGCAGGTTTTCCTTCTTTTTTTGTAACTGAGTAAAATATATACTTATATGTATATTATATACATTTATTTTTATACATATATTTGTACATATATTTTGCAAGTTGTTGTTCAGGTTTTCCAGTACCATTTATTGAAGAGATTATTTTGTCCCTGATGCATATTCTTGGCTCCTTTGTTGTAAATAAGTTGATATATATGGGTTTATTTTGGGGCTTTCTATACTTTTATGGTCTATATGTATTTTTACCTGAATATTATACTGATTTGATTACTGTCACTTTTAAATTTTATTTTTTTAACCAGAATAAGTTTTTTAAATTTTATTATGGTAGCCACCCTAATCATTAGTTTTTCATGTAGTGTTCAACAATTCATTCATATAACACCCAGTGCTCATCAAAACACATGCCCTCCTTGATACCAATCACTTCATTACCCCAACCCCCACACACTTCCATTCTGTAACCCTGAGTTTGTTTCCTGGAGCCCAGAGTCTTTCATGGTTTGTCTCCCTCTCTGATGTCTATCCATTCAGTTTTCTCTCCCTTCTACTGTGGTCTTCACCCTTATGTTCCACATATTAGTAAAACCATATGATAATTGTCTTTCTGTGCTTATTTCACTTAGCATAATCCCAATCCCATCCATTTCGATGCAAATGGTGAGTATTCATCCTTTCTGAAGGCTGAGTATATCCTGAGTATATATGAATCACATCTTTATCCATTTGTCTGTTGAAGGACATCTCGGCTCCTTCCACAGTTTGGCTATTGTGGACATTGCTACTATAAACCTTGGAATGCAGGTCTCCCTTCTTTTCACTACATCTGTATCTTTGTGGTACCTAGTTGTGCAACTGCTGAGTCATAGGGTAGCTCTATTTTTAATGTCTTGAGGAACCTCCGTACTGTTTTCCAGAGTGGCTGTACCAGCCTTCATTCCCACCAACAGTGTAAGAGGGTTCCTGTTTCTCCACATTCTTTCCAACACCTGTTTCCTGCCTTGTTAATGTTTGCCGTTCTAACTGGTGTCAGGTGTCATTGTGATTTTAATTTGTATTTCCCTGATGGCCAGTGATGTGGAGCATTTTTTCATGTGTCTGTTAGCCATTTCTCTGTGTCTGTTCACATCTACATTTTATATTTTAATGCCTCATTCTAGTCCTTTTTTTCACTCTATTCCATTTTATTTTATATTTATATATGTATGTATATACACACGTTTTCTTTGCATTTTGGGGATGTAATGTCTTCCAACACATACCTTAAATTCAACCTAGAACAAGTAGATCACCCTGCTTTGTCCACCCTGTGAGAATATAGTCTCTCTTCCCCCACCTTTTTTTTTTATTATTATTGTTTTGGTTTTTAGCTTTGTTTGCTTTTCTGTTGTGGCTTCTGACCACTTCAGAGATCTCTAGGGTGCATTTTGTTAGGGTCATGGTTGATAATTTGGACTCTGTTCATTCACTCACCATTCCTTCCTTGGGCAGAATAACTAAAAGGAAGAACTCACAAAAAAAGGAAGGAAGCAGAGGCAACCTTCTCTGCCACAGAGGTAATCAATATGGATATAAGCAAGAATTCAGGATAGCAATCATAAAGTCCTAGCTAGGGCATACATGACAATACAGAATCTATAAGGGCAGAAATGAGATATAATCAGGCTGAACTTAAAAATGCTTTCAGTCTAAATTGGGTGCTCTAATAGCTAGGGTCAATGAGGCAGAAGAGAGAATAAATGATCTAGAGGACAGGCTGATTGAAAGGAAGGAAGTTGAGGAAAAGAGAGAAAAACAACTAATAGCCATGAAGAAAGTCTTTGAGAAATAATGATACCTTCAAACAAAACAATATCAGAATTATCTGGATCCCAGAAGGGGTGGAAAGAGAGAGAAGGCTAGAAGGTATATTTGAGCAAATATGGCTGAGAACTTCCCTGATTTGGGGAAGGAAACAAGCATTCATGCTCTAGAGGCAGAGAGGACTCCTCCCCAAATCAATAAAAACAGATCAACACTCCACCATATCATAGTGAAGCTTGCAAATCTTAGAGCCAAAGAAGCTATCAAGAGAGCAGCTAGGGAAAGGACGTTCTAATGTATGGAGGGAGGAACATCCAAATAACATCAGACCTATCCAGAAACATGGCAGGCCAGAAAGGCTGGGAAGACATGTTCAGGGTACTAAGTGAGGAGGGCACCCAACCAAGAATACTTTATTCAGCAAGACTGTATAGGATGGAAGAAAAGATAAAGAGCTTCCAGGGCAGGTAGAAATGAAAAGAATATGTGACCACCAAACCAGCCCTGCAAGAAATATTAAGGGGGATCCTGTAAGTGAAGAGAGGCCCCAAGAGTCACATAGACCAGAGAGAAACAGAATCTACAGAAACAGGGACTTCACATGAAATACAATAGCACTAAATGCATGTCTTTCAATGATTACTCTGAATGTAAATGGTCTGCATGCTCCAGTCAAAAGACAGGGCATCAGATTGGATAAAAAAGCAACAACTATCCATATGCTGTCTATAGGAGACACATTTTAGTCCTAAAGAAACGTCAAGACTGAAAGTGAGGGCATGGAGAAATATTTATCACACTAATGGACCTCAAATGAAAGCTGGGGAAGCAATCCTTACAACAAACATCTAGATTTTAAACCAACATCTAGATTTTAAGCCAAAGACTGTACTAAGAGATGAGGAAGGACACTACATCATACTTAAAGGGACTATCCAACAAGACAATCTAACAATTGTAGCTTTGTGCATTTGGGATATGCCCACAACATAGGAGCAGCCAATTATATAAACCAATTAACCAAAATAAACATATTGATAATACATTTATAGTAGGGGACATCAACACCCCACTCACAGCAATGGACACATCATCTAAGCAGAAGATCTAACAAG